TAAAAATGTTAATCTCACTGAAGTATAGAGTAACATGGTGGCCACCAGGTGCCAAGGTAATTGAAAAAAAGAGGCGATTGGAAAAATGTCAACAAATACATAATTATAGTTGTATAGGAAGGACAACTTCAAAAGATATATTATACAGCATGATGACTATAGTTCATAAAAATGTATATGTATTTATGAAAAATGCGAAGATAATGCCATGTGGTCTCACCAAAAGGAGTTAACTCAGTTAACACATTTATTACACAGGGCTAAGTATTTGACAATGAAAGTATACTTCAAAATATTATATTTAAAAAAATAAATACCCATTTTATCTGTCAAGTTAAAAAATGTATTTTTAAAACTTTATAGAAAGTTAATATTTCAAATATGATCTGTGTTTGTCATAAACCTGACTGAGTAGTATTACCCATATATAGCTTTGTGCTCTTTTGTCATTTGTAAAATACAACCATAGAAACTTTGATACTTAACATCATGTCATGGTCCCTGCACAGTGCCTGGAGGAAGCCAATTTACTTTAGGGCATTTCCTTTAAGTTTGGGGCACCAGGAGTTTCTGGTGCTAATGATAATGACATCAAAGACAGTAAAAGGGCAGGCGGTCCCATGACTGCTGATGGTCCCATGACTGGACACTCTGTGAACACAGTAAACAAATTTGCATGTGAAATAACAGAAAATATTTTAATTCAAAAACTGGCATAATCTTCACATATTTTTCAGAAAAAATTAACAATTGGCTACAGATAGGTGACTAAGTATAAAAATTGTATGCTGAACTTCACCCCCCGAAAAACTATATAACTGGGAAATTTCTTTAAATTATAATATCAACAAAAAAAATTCTAATTTAAAATTTACGCTAGTAATTTTATTATTTGGTAACCTTTAATATTCAAACTTAAATATAGAGATTCTGCATGGAAATATAAGTTGTGCTGTAAGTATATCATCAAACATTAAAAATTTATTACTTACCACTAACTGTTAGAAATTGAATTACAAAGATACATTTTATATTTGACACACTTTGTGTAAGAATCTTTTAAAATTTTTCTTTTACAGATCAATGCTAAATAATTTACTTCTCCCCTGCAGTGAATACTGTATGACTTTTATCTTTATCTGATGTCAAAGCTATATTGATAAGCAAACTCTCAAGTTATAACCAACTTTTACTGCATTAAAAGTTTCAGGTCAAGCACAGTGGCTCATGCCTATAATCTCAGAACTTTGGGAGACTGAGGTAGGCAGATCACCAGAGACCATACCAACATGGAGAAACCCCATCTCTACTAAAAATGCAAAATTAGCTGGGCATGATGGTGGATGCATATAATCCGTGTCTTGAGAGGCTGAGGTAGAAAAAAATCCCAGGAGGCAGAGGTTGTGATGAGTCAAGATTATACCCTTGCACTCCAGCCTGGGCAACAATAGCAATACTCCGTTTCAAGAAAACAAAAACAAAAACAGAAACAATTTTCTAATCAAAATCTACAAAGTACCATGCGAAATGACAGAGCATAAAAACAAAAGTGAGAAAACTGTAGCCATAACACAGAAAAAGGTCTGTGATGCATATATAGTTGGAATGCACATAAGAAAAACAAAACTGGATAATCAGAAAACAAAACAAAACAAAACAAAACAAACCAGAATTTCTCTTTAAATTCAGCAAGAGTCCACTTTGCAGCCTGGTAAAAACGTTCTCTCCACATCAATAATCAATATTATTTCTTCACTATTGATATTTTCCATATATAACTTGATTTGCAAACTAACTCCAGCAAAAATATTTATGGCTTATTACAGAACATCTGTCACGTGAGAAGCACTATCATGTTTGTTTGCTACATTCATATATCAAAATATTCTTGCCGGGTATGGTGACTCACACCTGTAATCTGAGCACTTTCAGAGGTTGAGGGTCGGATCAACGAGGTAAGGAGTTCGAGACCTGCCTGGCCAATGTGGCAAAACCTTGTCTCCACTAAAATTACAAAAATTAGGTGGGCATCATGGCAGGCACTTGTAATCCAAGTGACTTGGGAGGCTGAGACAGGAAGAATTGCTTGAACTCAAGAGGTGAAGGTTGCATTGAGCTGAAATTGAGCCACTGACCTTCGGCCTGGGTGACAAATCAAGACTCCAGCTCAAAAAAACAAATAAACAAACAAACAGACCAAAAAAAGAAAAAAAAGAAATACCTAAAATCCTCATGACTCATGAAGCCTCCCAAGTAATTCCCTGAATATATTGGTTTAACAGATAAATTTACAAAAGTCAATTATAAAAGGTTAAAGAAACAATAAGGAATAGTAGGCATAAAGAGGTTTCTCCAATTAAACACAATGAAATGTTCTAACTAAAAAATATACACAAATTATGAAATTACATCTAAAAATCATTTTCTGTCCTACCTCATTTTATGAAAATTAATTACTAACCAGCTGACAATGAATATTCTTACAGTGTAAAACAAAAAATGAATTATAAGAAACAGGAAAAGTATTTGTCTGTACAATAATGAAATAATGAGTAAAGAATATAGATTTGTATTCAGCATTATTGAGGTTTTTAGTTTTCTAGAAAACTAGTCACCATGTGAAAATAATTTGTTTTGTTCCAATATTGCTTTTTCTGGAAATAGGTAAAACTCATACACACACACACTTATTCTACAATTCTATTACAGTTAAGATATATTATTAGACTAACTTGTATATTTAACTGTATGTGAATCAAAACTAAAAGTTTTTATGTGTAGGTAGTTCACATGTTCAAAGAAAAATATACAGGAAAATTTAACAAAATACTTATTTGGGACATATAGAAACACATAAATTTTATTTATACTTCTATATAGTTTTTATTATAACCATAAAAGATACAGCATGAAGTAAATTGTGAGTTGAATCATATCATTTACTTTCCAAAAATAAATCTGTAAAGTTTTTAAATGAAAAAAGTATTCTTTGAATGCAATCATAAGTCCAATTTTCTTTTGTTAAAGTTACATAGAAAAAATTTATCTAACAACTTTAGTTTTGAATGATGTTCTACACTGAATACTCTGATTTAGTGTAATGTCTGAAGGGTCAGTATCTTAGTTATTTCTACTATGATGTCTCAATAACTCTACTTAGTTATTTCTACTAAGTCTATGTCTGCTGATGTTGACATAGACTTAATTTTGAAGTAAATGTTGTTTTCACAGTTACTGCATATGTAAACATATATTTTACTATGAACTCTCTGGTGTTTTCTTAGCTCTCATTTTTGAACAATTCTTTAGTTAAACTTATTACACGTATTAGGATTTTTTCCAATATAATATAAATTCCCTGATGTTGAGCAAGTTTTGAGAAACTTCTTCAGGCTTTTTCTCTAATACAAACCCTGCACAACACTTATGAAACAAGTAATGGTACTACAACTCTCTTTATATTTTTAATGTTTGTCTTCAGAATGAACGCTCTTGTTTAATGACATATTTTCTGAAAGTGATCTTGACAATAATTGCACTAAAAATGTTTTTATTAAGTATAAACTCTTGGATTTTGTGTAAGATATGAGCAGGTATCAACAGCTATTCCAGTTTTTATTATTTGTGGAATTTTTCTCTAGTATTAATGCTTTCTTGTGCAATAAAATGTGAGTACTAGTTAAAAGTTTTGTCACATTTTTCAAACTTAATTTACTTTATATTTTTAAGTTTGAGGTGTTGTGAAAAGATTGTCTCATCTTTCAGGTTTGTAGAGTTTCTCTTCAATATAAATTATCTTATGTCTGCTGAGAATTGAGAAGCTGTAAAAGGCTTTGACACATTATGCTAGTAGGATTTCTCTCCAGTATGAATTGTGTGTAATAAATATTGAGAACTTGTTACAGTCTTTGTCACATTTTTCACATTTGTTGGAATAGTCTCCAGTATGAATTACCTTATGTTTAGAAATGGTTAACAATATACTAAGGGCTTTGTCATATTCTTAAGATAAGTAGTTTCCATCCATTGTGCATTACTTTATGTTCTGTAGGGTTTAAGAACTAGTTAAAAAGTTTGCCACATTCTTCACAAGTTTCAGAATTCTCTCCAGTATGAAGTTGCTTAAGTTTAGTAAGGGGTGAGGACTGGTAAAAAGTTTTTCCACATGCTTTAGTATGAAATATTTTGTTTATTAAGTCCTGAGGATTCACAATAGCCTTTGCCACATTCTTCACATTTGTGCAGGGTTTCTTATCGGCATTAATTATCATGTTTAATAAAGGTTAAGAATACACCAAAGCCTTTGCCACAATGTTCACTTCGTAGGACTTGTTTCCAGTATGAATTGTCTTGTTTAGTAAGATTTGAGAAATGGTTAAAACTTCTCCATATTCCTCACATTTGTTACACTTCTCTGAAGTATAAATTCTCTTGGATTGATGGCTGGTTAAAAACTTTGCCACGTTCTTCACATTTTTAAAAATTATCTCCAGTGTGAATTCTTTTATGTCTAGAAAGTTTTGATGGCCAATGAAAAGCTTTGCCACATTCTTCACATTTGAAGGGATTCTTTCCACTATGAATTCTCTTATGTGCAGTAAGGCAGTAGGACGAAATAAAAGCTTTGCCACATTCTTCACATTTGTAGGGTTTCTCTCCTGTATGAATTCTCTTATGTTTAGTAAACCATGAGGACTGGTTAAAAGCTTTGCCACATTCTTCACATTTGTAGGGTTTTTCTCCACTATGAATTCTCTCATGTTTAGTGAGGTCTGAGGAACACTTAAAAGCTTTGCCACATTCTTTACATTTGTAGGGTTTCTTTCTAGTATGAATTATCTTATGCTTTGTAAGGTCTGATGAACAGTTAAAAGCTTTGCCACACTCTTTACATTTGTAGGGTTTTTCTCCACTATGAATTCTCTCGTGCCTAATAAGGACAGATGACCATTTAAAAGCTTTGCCACATTCTTAACATTTGTAGGGTTTCTTTCCAGTATGAATTATCTTATGTTTAGTAAGGTCTGATGACCATTTAAAAGCTTTGCCACATTCTTCACATTTGTAGGGTTTTTCTCCACTATGAATTCTCTCATGTCTAGTAACGGCTGATAACCACTTAAAGCTTTGCCACATTCTTCACATTTGTAGGGTTTCTCTCCTGTATGAATTCTCTTATGTTTAGCAAACCAAGAGGACTGGTTAAAAGCTTTGCCACATTCTTCACATTTGTAAGGTTTCTCTCCACTATGAATTCTCTCATGTTTAGTAAGGTTTGAGGAACACTTAAAAGCTTTGCCACATTCTTTACATTTGTATGGTTTCTCTCTAGTATGAAATATACTGTGTGTAATAGGGTATGAGGACCAGTTAAAGGCTTTGCCACATTCTTCACCTTTGTAGGAATTCACTCTAATATAAATTCCTTTATGTTGAATTAGATGTACAAACTTGCAAAATGATTTGTCACGTTTTACATTTATAAGTGTTCTTTTTAGCAAGTCTTATATCTATTCGAATATGAAAACATATAAAAGACCTTTACATATTTATAACACAGAAATGTTTTGCTCTCAGCCATCAAACATTTCTTAAGTTTGTAATAAACTCTATCGTGCATTTTACAGTCATCAAGTGGTACATTTTCATCTCCAGAGTTTCCACATCTTCTCAGTATCACTTTTTGAAATGATTCTTTCATGCCCTGCTCTGGCCATAGGTCTTTAGCAAAGTAAGAACACATAACTGAAAAAAATAAAAACAGCAAATTATTCCACTTGCTAGACTAAGATTTTTATAGTCAATACATCTAACCTCTAAAATTACACAAACTACATAAGCAAGATGGCATAGAAGAGTACCACAGGCCCTAGTTTCTTCATAGACATATAAATTTAACAAAAACATACTGACCAAATCACATTTGTGGAAGATTTATAAATAAGTGACTTGTGTTCAGTACCCCCGTGAGCACAATACAAAGAGTTACATAGAAAAAAACATCTGTTACATTTACCCAACAGAGACCTCAACAGAGCTCTTCCTGCTCCCCAAACATAATATAGTGTCTTTAGAAGTAAACTGCCAACTTCTGCTTTTTCTTTTTTGTTTTTAAGAAAAATATATAAATAAAATAAACCCCAGAAAAACAGTGACACCTACATTTCTATTTCTGGCTTCTAAGAGTCTTTTCACACACTGGTTTCTGTCTTCCATGGCATTAAATACTAAAAAAAAAAGTGGTAGCTAATATGGTTTTGTTCTGTGTTTCCACTTAAACCTCATTTTGAATTGTAGCTCCCATAATTCAAAGTTATGGGAGTTGGGGAAAAAACCTGGGGGGAGATAATTGAGCTATGGAGCCGGATATTTCCTATATTGTTCCTGTGATAGTTAATGAGTCTCACAAAATCTCAAAGTTTTAATAAAGGAGAGTTCCTCTTCCTGTCTCTCTGACTGCCACCATGTAGGATGTCACTTTGCTTTTCTTTTATTTTCTGCCACAATTATAAGCCTGCCCCAGCCATGTGGAATAGTGAGTACACTGAATGTTTTTTCTTTGTAAATTATCCAGTCTTGGGTATATCTTCATTACCAGGATGAAATCAGACTACTACAGTAGTATTCATTGGAATGACAGTTTGAGTCACTAAGACCAAAGGTAACTGCTACAGCAGTAGAGATACTGCAGTACGACAGAGAGAAAACACATGTAGCAAATGAGGACCGGCCATTAAGCAGAAACATTAATAAATTTATTTAACTAAATATAAAGAAAAAAATTTCAGATAAGATACATCCTAAGAACATGTCTGAGAGATTCCCAGAATCTCTAGCTAAAACAATTGGTTTTAATGTATGTCAGGAAAAAAGCTACATTACAAAGACTGTGACAGGTAGTTTTTTTAAATGTTCAAATCTCAATCAAAAATTACAATGCATAGAAAATATTATAGGAAAATAGCCTGATATAAAAATTATAAACTGTTCAGAAAGCAACCATAAAATGAAGATGTATAAATTAATTTTAAAAAATTTAAATAAATTAAAAAATAGTGAGTGAAAGAGAAACACAGACAACTATAAAGAAATAAAAAATTAGAATAAACACAAAAATATTAAAAATATCAAAAAATTATAAAGGCAAAAATTATAAAAAGCAAAAAATTCTAGAAGAGCAAATGATGAAAAAAGAGGCTCAACAAATAGACTAGGATACACACAAAGATATTTATAACAAACACATATATAAACACAATTTTAATAGTCACAGATGAAAATAAAGTCTTGGGCACTGCAAAAGAAAAGTGATGTGTCATTTACAAGCACAGTCTTCTTATAAGATAACCAGTGAATGTGCTCACAAAAAATTTGCAGGCCAGAGGAAAACTGTGTGTTATTGTCAAAGCCTTAAAAAAAAAAAATACATACATATACATATATATATGTTTAGTGAGAATAATATCAATAGCAAAACTGTTCTACCAAATAAAAAGAAGAAGAAAAAAAACCTTCCAAATTAACTAAATTCTGAGAAAGTATATTGGCACTGCATGTATGCTACATATCAAAGATAATAAAATGAGTTTGTCACTGAAAATAACATGATTCAAAAAAACAGCATCTAATTATTGAAAAATTACTGAAAAATCTAATTATTGAAAAACAGCACCTAATTATTACATTGTTCTGGGAAAGATATGCATATACAAATAAATTAAATTCTTTAGCATTATCATAATCGTGAAAAAATTTAAATTATTCTTTAAAATTTATAAAAGCCTAGAAATTTTTATAAACATCTCTTAATAAATCTAAAAAAGAGATATAATCAGTAACATAAATAACAAATAAGAGCAAATATAATGAAGAATACTTGCTTGCAACTGAAGCTATTTTTTTTAAGAAGGTTAAAGTATATTGTGTCTTTTTTTACAAAGGTACTCAAATGTCAACTTTATTGTTGCCATATAAACAACTTTTTGTATTGAAAACTGTAAAAATAGCATAAAGTTTGCTCTTATTGTAACCCAAAGTTTTGAAAGCCAGAAAGTCTAATTATTACACTCTAGCTAAACTAGTTAATGCTTTCTTTATCCACAAGTAACTTTGCTTCAATTTCTTGATGTTGGGTTTCACCTCACTGACTTTGGGCCTCTAAAATACATGGGAATACTTATATCTCTTGGTTTCTTTGGGTCAAATTAAACAGCAGAGCTAAAGTTATTCAAATACATTCAAACTACACAGATCCCTCATAAATTATTAGCATCACAGTAGGAAGAAAAAGATACCAGAAAAATACATCCTAGAACTCATTATCAAAATTATTGTTGTATAGTCTATAACTAGCAGAGAATAGCTTTCTTGGTCTGCTATATAAAATTACCAGCAAGCAAAAAAAGTGCAAGAATAAGGTTTATGGCTGAAGTGGCTTGGTGTCATAATTCCCTATTCTAGCATTCTCAGAAGGATTTCATCCACTAGACATGCAGAAACTGCAGGGACACTTGAACATTCATTTTCTTGATGTATTCTTAACTTTCTTAAAGCCCAGTTTTTGTTAGTGTCCTTTCATGTTCCCTAGGACCTCTACCTAGTAACATGTATCTGAATCTTGCTATCCTTTCTGTCTGCACAGACAGCAATGTTCTTATTTCTCCTCTCCTGTAAGGCAAGTCATCTCCGATTTCCCTGAGGATTGCTGCTCCTGTAGACTGCTGATGGAGTTAAGCTTCTGATAGAGAGGAAGGGAATTCAGTAGCAGTGTTGATGAGCTTACTAAGGTTCTTATCAATGTCTCCTAGTTTTGAGAGGTCCCTGAATTGTCTTGGGAGATTTTTTTGTTGAGCATTTGTGAAGACTCTGGGATGAAGGTTGAATTAAACTTTTGCATTGAGTCCATCCTTGTCTTGAAACAACACTAAGCTTCTCCTGGATTTTTGAAACCATATGAAATCAAAACACACTCTTCAACATATTCTTGCCCAAGTCAAAAACGTTAATTTCTTTAAGATGTTAAACCAACCTACGGTGATACACAAATTTAATATAATTTCTACAAATGTCCCAATAGAAGTTTTTACAAGACTATTGGTTGACATTTGAAACTTTATGAACTATACCAAACACCCATGCAAGAGATCAAAGACGCATTATACTTCCTGATTTAAAAACATACTCAAAGCTAACAAAAACAATGTGGTACTGACACAAAGATAAACAGGTGAAAGAACAGAATAGAACTCAGAAATAAACCCTTTTGTATAAAATCAAATAACCTTCGATTAAATCGCTATGACCACTCAATAGAGAAAAGATAAATAATATTTTATCAAATTTGATTAATCAAAATATAACGTGGCAAACTAAAAATCTACACTGATAAAGTTGGATCATTCTCTTGAGCCATATACAAAAAAGTTTAAATAAAATACTTAGACACAATAAAATAACAAATCTCAAAAAAAAAAAAAAAAACAAATCTCTTAGAAACAAAATAAGGGAAAGACATGACATTGATCTTGGCACCATTTTCTTAGATATGACATTAAATGCAGTAGCAACAAAGGAAAGAACAGAAACATTTAACTACATTATAATTCAATATTTCTGTACATCAAAGAAAACATTCAATAGAGTGGCAATGCCTTTCAGAAAATGAATGAAGGTCGGGCACAGTGGCTCATGCCTATAATCCCAGCACTTTGGGAGGCCGAGGCGGGTGGATCATGAGGTCAAGAGAACGAGACCATCCTGGTCAACATGGTGAAACCCCTTCTCTAGTAAAAATACAAAAATTAGCTGGGCATGGTAGAGCATGCCTGTAGTCCCAGCTACTCAGAAGGCTGAGGCAGGAGAATTGCTTGAACCCAGGAGGCGGAGGTTGCAGTGAGCCAAGATCGTGCCATTGCACTCCAACCTGGCTACAGGACAAGGCTCCATCTCAAAAAAATAAAAGAGAAAAGAAAATGAATGAAAATATTTACAAATCACATGTGATACGAGTTAATATTCAGAATATATAAACAACTCTTAAAATTTAAAAATAGAGTTGAATAATTAGATTTAGAAATGGATACTTAATTAAATGAAACATTAGAAAGAAGCATTTGAAAGAAGATAAAAAATTAGTAATTGATAGAGAAATGCATAATAAGTATAATAAAAATCCAAATCACCTCACACCAATTAGAATGGCCATAATAAATTTTTTAAAATCCGTAAATCCATTGATGATGGAATATAAATAAAACACATGTTGATTGTTGGAAGACAAAAATACAGCCATCATTTAAAAATGTTATGAATGTTTCTCAAATAATTAAACATGAAAGTATCATCAAGTACAGCAATCACAATTACAAATCTATGCCCAAAGTATGCAACTGAGGACCTGGAAGATACATTTAACAATCTGTGTTTACTGTACCAGTATTTACATAAGCCAAAAGGCAGAAGCAACTCAGTTGTTTTTTGATTTATATACATACCAAAAAAATGTAACATATATGCACAGTGAAATATTATTTAGCCTGATAAAAAATCTTGTCACTTTAAAAAATCTTGTCAGATACTAAGATAAACCTTGAGAATATTATATTACCTAAACTAAGCCAGTAACAAAGCACTGAATACTATATGATATCATTTATATGAGGTACGTCAAGCAGTCACATTTATAAAAACAGAAAGGGGAAGAATGTTTCTCAAGGGCTGAAGAGAGTGTAAAATGGGTAGTTGTTACAGGTTTTGAGTTTTAGTTTTACAAATGTAGAATTTCTTGAAGTGTTCTGAATAGCAATGTGAATATACTCATCATGCCTAAAGTGTACAGTGTTTTTATGTTGTTGTTGTTTTTGTTTGTTTTTTAAAGACAGGGTAAGGCCAGGCACAGTGGCTCACATCTGTAATCCCAGCACTTTGGGAAGTCGAGATGGATGTATTGCCTGAGGTTGGGAGTTCAAGACCAGACAGACCAACATGTAGAAACCCTGTCTCTACTAAAAACATAAAATTAGCTGTCTATGGTGGTGTAAACCTGTAATCCCAGCTACTCAGGAGGCTGAGGAAGGGGAATCACTTGAATCCAGGTGGTGAAGGT